GGGAAAATCTGCCTCGTCAGTCATGTATCGAAAGATTATTTATTTTAGGATATATATATATATATATGTTTTCGGTGTAATATCCTAAAATAAATTATATATATATATATATATATATATATATATTACAAAGGTGTTCACCCTGTACAATACCTGAGGGCTACTCGAAGTAGAGGGTAAAAAAGTCAAAAATTTATGCGGTTATGTGGAAACTAACGGTTAACCCTAGACTTGAACAAGTTAAAATTTAGTTATCGAGTAAGCAACCTCTTGGGAGTTGTTTCCAGAAGTCAGTGATTTGTGTGAAGAAGCTACTCGAGTGGAACTTACATCTCACCAAGGGAATACGAAAGGAATGAGGGTGACTTGCTACAATTTGAGTGGTATGGTGTGTCTTAGTTCTACCTGTCCTAACCGTCACGGCTAAGAAGTGTAGTTCATATCAACACTGTCCATGGAAATAGCGATAGAACTGGGGGAAACCTGCGACGTCCCGTCTGTGAGAAAGGGGTCGCAGAGTGGAAGATAATACGTCGCCTACAAGAACTCAGAGACGCTTGTGGACTCTATCGGCAACGGAAAGGGAAGATCCTGTTCATATATGGCAGCAGTATTCCATTTTTGACCCGATCTGGCTCTACTAGATATAGAGGATAGCAGGTGGAGTCAGGTACCTACTGGAGTGGTACCAACTACTTTTTCAGTATCTTTAGCTATGGATCGTATGTACGAGTTCCACTTGAGGTCTGGCCTGAGTTTAAGTCTTAAGAGGCGCTCAATGTACGCGGTCTGAGGGAACATCCATTCATCGCGATTGATATGTCAGGCGTATTGTGGAAGTCATTGTAAACTTACTCGCCTTCTGCAATATTATTTCTGCTCATTAACCAATCCTGTCGAAAATACAGACTCTTATTATGGGTACAACTCGAGGTTACTAAAATTGCTACTGATTTTACAATAATTGACAAAATGGTGCTACCGGCAGTTGTGCTCTCCGGCCTTCTTCTGGTGTATGTTGTTCCGGATACCCTTCAAGGGATTTCGAAATGAGCCCTTTATTAAATGTACAGCGTAGGCTATTCTCGTTCCGCTGTCCGTATCTCGTCTGAGCAGTACTAAATAAGAACATGACGAGATATCCCAAGCCACTGGCAACAGAATGGGTATAGCCTACCCCTCTAGATTAAATAGAGGATTCAATTCGAAATCACCTTAAAGTTATACGAGCATATGGAGAATGCTGTAGAGTAAAACGGCCGAAACGTTGTGATGGTGTAAACAGGCAAATAAATAAATAAATCAATGAACCGAAAAGTAAAAAGAGATAATCGACGAAGAGAGAAAAAATGAAAGAAAGAAAAAATAGAAAATATGTATAAAGAAGAAAGAAGGAAAGAAAGAAATGGCGTGAGATATGAAATATACAGGAAGAAAGAAAGAAGGAAAGGAAGAAACAGGAGAGATAAAAAATATGAGCAAAGAAAGAAAGAAAGAAAAAAGAAAGAAAGAATGAGGAGGACAGAAAATGCGTATGATAAAGAAATAAATAAAGAAACGGAGTGAGATCGAAAATATATAGAAAGAAAGAAAGAGAGAAAGAGAAACGGGAGAGATAAAAATATATATGAAGAAAGAAAGGAAGATAGACGGAAAGAATGTATTAAGAAAGAAGTGGGAGAGATAGAAAATATAAATGAAGAATAAAGAAAAAAAGAGAGGATAAAGAAAGAATTAGATGGAGAGATACAAGCTATATATAAAGACAGGGAGAAGAAAAAATTCAAAGAAGAAAGAAAGAATGAAAGAAGGAAAGAAAGAAAGAAAGAAAGAATGAGAAGGATAGAAAATACGTTTGAAGGATAAAGAACAAAAGAAAGAAATGGAGCGAGATAAAAAATATATACGAAGAAAAAAGAATGAAAGAAAGAAATAAAGAAACAGAGATAGAAAATATGAATGAAGAAGAAAGAAAGAAGGAGAGAAAGAAGAAAAAAGAGGACAAAGAAAAAAGGAAGAGAGACAAAATAAAAGACGTGATAATCAAAGAAGAAAGAAAAAGAAAGAAGGGGATGGAGAGAAAATATACGTCCGAAGAAGAAAAAAAGAAATGAAGTGAGAGAGAAAATAGAAAGGAAGAAAGAAAGAAACCAGAAAGATATAAAATATGAATGGAGGAGAAAAAAGAAAAGAAAGAATTAAATGGATATATATATATATATATATATATATATATATATATATATATATATATATATATATATATATATATATATATATATATAAAGAACAAATGAAAATCAAAGAAGAAATAAAGACAGAAATAAAGTAAGAAAGAATAAATCAAGAGACACATAAATTAGTTAGGAGGAAGAAAAGAAGAGACAGCGAGATATATTATGAAGAAGAAAGAAAGAAATGGGGAGAGTTAGAAAATAGATATGAAGAAGAAAAGAATGATGATAAAATGTCAGAAGGCGAGAAATTATAGTCGCCAATTCCCGTGTACTTTCAAGACACAGGTTCGCAATCGATTTCCCAGAGGAATTTCCAAGCAGGAGACAAGAACTGTTTGAATTCTTTCAAAATGATCCAATCGTAAAGTAGCAAGCAAGCTCGTCTTCGTCAGCCATTACATTGCATGGCAGAGTTCCGCGTCCGAATGTGCATTTTATTTATTTATTTATATTCGCGTTTGCATTTTGGCGTCGTTTATTTCGTTGGCCAATGCTCATCCAGACAAACATTGAACACAGCGTACGTACGCACAAAATGCAGATGCAAACATATGCGCGTGTGCGCATGCCCAGTTCCTTCAGGTCAAATTCCCGCATTTTGAATTCTATCAGGTCTCCATGTTTATTGTTTCCATTAACTCCCTACATTTCTCTTTGTTTCTTTCGGGTTCTCTCGCAATTATTCTTTTACTCGTACTTTCTATTTTGCGATTCTTAATTCGCGACGTGCCTCAGGACAAGAAACGGGAGAGTCGAGTTCGAATTCCAGTTGGGTTTATTGCATTCCCTTACGCGCTAATACGCTTGCGAAATATATGAATCCATCTTCTTTCTCCCTAGTTATGGATTAAATAGTATGTATGTGGAAAAATCATTGTTATCCTCTAAAAATTGTTAATGCAATATTAAAAAAATAAATAAATCAATAAAATAATTATACTTACTATAACTCAAAAAGGGTTGATAAACCGTAAAAAAAAAATCAGTCAATTAATCATCCGCGACGCGAGATGACGTGATGAGTTTAATCATATGTAAAAACCTAGCTTTCACTGTTCAAAGGAGGGAAAGATGGCTTATATTGTTCAATACCTCCAAAACAAAACTAGTAATATTTCATCACCACCATGCAGTCACTAAATTTGTTCCAATCTTGGTGAACGCTCGCAGGGTCGATGAAAGGATCTCGTGTACCCACCCCCCAATCTATCATATTGGACCCCCACTCTATTGGATCTCTATTCTCATAATGAATCTTATGCAATATAAGTGAACAGTTCAAGTAGAAAAATTGAAAATAAGTACAATGTATCTAAATACAAATTAAAGACATGTCATAATGGATCAATCCATCTTAAATCAACAATTTTTTTGCGGCAATTTTTAACATCAACTTGAGAGTTTTCTTCTTAAAAATTTGAAGAATTTTAACGAGTTCAACCTTACGGAATTTTATGTTTTTCCGAGACTAAACAAAACACATTCATGGATTTGAACAAAAAGATGAGATCCCAGAATGATGTCGAAAATCCGCGAAAATGTGTCATCTTCTAATAGTCTTAATTTGTAACGTAAAAACAATAGGCGTATCCCAACGTGATACAAGGTATGCAGGGTCAATGCAAGGATCTCTTGGGCCTCCACCGAATCTATGATACGCCTCCCTCGAATTCATGATACCAGCCCCCCCCTCTACTACATCTCAATTTTTATAAGGTAGAATCCATATAAAATACAATTTTTATTGTAACCTAATCATGTACAATAATGGATCATCTGCAATATAGATGAACAATTCAACTAGAAAAATTGAAAATAAATACAATGTATCTAAATACAAATAAGAGACACGTCATAATAGATCATATCATGTTAAATAAGTCGACAATGTTTTGAAGCAATTTTTAACATCAACTTGAAACTTTTCGTGCTAATAAGTCGATGAATTTTACAGATCGTGACAACTATCCGGGTGATGTGATTAAATATACTTTAATGTCTAAAAAATTATTCAGTATAATTATTATTTAAGTAATAAACATTATAACATGGTACAAATAGCAACATAGTGGGAAAAGGAATTTTCGACAATATAGGCATATTTTACGTATTTATGGTTATTTATTTTTAACTTTTATCAAAAACGACATTCTTGAAGATGTAGTTATGGATAATGTTATACATTAATTACTAATTTTTTTACTTAATAACTATTTGTGATCAGTTATTGACAGTAATTGCTATCTGCCGATGTGTTAAAATTTTAGAATAATGCAATAATAAATGTCTTCTTCAACCCTGTACTCCGGGAGTCCAGAGTTGAAGAAGACTGGCACAAGGTTGCGACGGCTGAAATACGATATATCCACATGAGGTAATTTTGGATTTTTTGCTGTATATATATATATATATATATATATATATATATATATAGAGAGAGAGAGAGAGAGAGAGATGGATGGTTCAATTCCGTTCTTGGCTAGAAGGTATCCCATGCGGAAAATGTCGGTTGTGACTGTAAATAAATAAACTAAAGAAACAACAAAATATATGAACTGTTTTCTTGATAAATTCCGACCTTTCACTCCAGTGTCTATTATCCCCCACCCCATTATCAATTAACAATCAGTCATAGAATATTAAATTATCAATTTAAATATAATTGAAAAATAGAAGAGAGAGTCAAATGCTTGAAGCACTTTTACGATTGTTTGAACTTGAATCGTGATTAATAGTCAAAAGAGAAAAAAAGTTCCAGATTCATCACTCCGCTCCCACAAAAAGAAAAAAAAGTGGCAAAAACAGGACAGGAGAGAAATAAAAATAACAAACGCTTAACCCTGACCTACCAGTAAATAAATAATAAGAAAGAAAAAGAACGAAAGAAAGAAAGAAAGAAAAAAAAAAAAAGAAAAAAAAAAGAGAAAGAAAAAAGAAAGAAAAAAAAGAAAAAGAAAGAAAGAAAGAAAAAAAGAAAAAAAGAAAAAAAAGAAAAAAAAAAAAAAGAAAAAAAAAGAGAAAGAAAGAAAAAGAAAAAAGAAAAAGAAAGAAAGAAAGAAAGAAAGAAAGCAAGAAAGAAAAAAAAAAGAAAGAAAGAAAAGAAAAAAGAAAAAAAAGAAAGAAAGAAAGAAAAGAAAGAAAGAAAAAAAAGAAAGAAAGAAAGAAAAGAAAAAGAAAGAAAAAAAAGAAAGAAAGAAAGGAAAGAAAGAAAGAAAAAAGAAAAAGAAAGAAAAAAAGAAAGAAAGAAAAGAAAAAAAGAAAGGAAGAAAGAAAGAAAAAAAAGAAAGAAAAAGAAAGAAAGAAAGAAAAAGAGACAGAAAGAAAAGAGAAAGAAAGAAAAAGAGAAAGAAAGAAAGAAAGAAAGAAAGAAAAAGAGAAAGAAAGAAAAAGAGAAAGAAAGAAAGGAAGAAAGAAAGAAAGGAAGAAAGAAAGAAAAAGAAAGAAAAAGAGAAAGAAAGAAAAAGAGAAAGAAAGAAAAAGAGAAAACATGGAAGCTTTGTAGCAACAAATAAACGAAGAGAAAGAAAGATAGACGTTCAGTAACAGCAAAGAAAATAAATAAAAATGGAAGCTTAGAGAAAAAAGAAAAAAGAGAAAGAAAGGAAGTAAAAAAAAGAAAAGAAAGAGGCTTAATAACAACAAAGAAAAAAGAAAGAAACTTGGTAACAAAAACGAAAAAGAAAAATGGATGAATGCAAGAATCTTAGTGACGACAAAGAAAGATGAAGCTTAGAAATAATAGCGGGTAAAGAAAGAAAGAGGCTTAGAAACAGCAAAAAAGAAAAAAATTAAAAAGCAAGAAAGAAAGAATCTTAGTAAAAACAAAGAAAAAAAGATGGAGGCTTTCTAACAGCAAAGAAAATAGAAGAAGAAAGAAAGAAACTTGAAACAACAAAGAAAAAGAAGAATGTAAGAAGAAAAAGCAAGAAAGAAAGAATCTTAGTAAAAACAAAGGAAAAAGAAAACTTTAATTAAATATTGCAATCAGTTAAGTGCCATACGTGATACCCGATTAGACGATCATGTAACTTTTGATACATGTCTGACGAGGCAGAAGTTTTCATGCAAGACGTTGCCATTTTTTCTGCAGTAGACTGGTTGACAAACAAAGCTAAAAAAACCCAGTCTGTCCTGCTATTTAATCCATAGCTGGGAGGAGAAGTGATGAATTCATAACAATAAGAAATATGAATACTGGTTGTTATTTTAAGAAGTAAGGGGTTAAAAACGAAAAATATTTGAAACCAAAAACTTTTTTCATTTCACTGAAACAGCCGTTATACACTTCTATCTTCCTTTCTGAAAGAAAGAAAAAACTTTCTTTCATTCACTTTCTCACTGAAACCAAGTAGTGTCTCCCCCCTTTCCACGCAATCAAAACGGAATAGTCCATTATTTATGCGGTATGGGCAAAAGATGTTAAACACTTCTTTCTTTCTTTCTTTCATTCATTTTCTCACTGAAACCAAGTAGTGTCTCCCCCCCTTTCGACGCAATCAAAATGGAATGTTCCATTATTTATATGGTATGGCCAGAAGACGTTAAACATTTCTTTCGTCATTCATTCATTTACCGATTTATTTAGAAAAAAAATAATTTCTCGAAAATAATACGCATTTTTTTATTCTAAATTACAGGCGATAGTAGGGGTGCGTATTATAGATAGGTTTAAACAAAAATATATTTTTTCGTTATTGAATTATAATAATAAATACGTACTTGTTGTTCTAAAATAAGAAAGATATTATCCTAATTTACATTTTAAATTCAACAATAATAATTGTAACATTATTTTGTCAATAAATTTATGTTCATCAGTAACCGCTTTTTTTATTTGACGAAAAAGTAAATAAACCTATAAAAAGAGGATATCAAGTTAACAATTTATTGAAATTTTAATTTTCATCATCGTCATCAGCACCACTTTCTATTATAATAGAATCAATATCTAAATTGTCGTTAAACAAATTATCATTCACAATATTATCTTCGTCCTGTTCAAAATTATCTCCAGCCTCTTCATTCTCTTGACAAAGGATGCCATCTTCAGAGCCATCCATGTATGTCGTGAGACAACATTTCTTGAAACCTTTCTTTATAACATCCTCACTGATAGAATTCCAAGATTCCTGAATCCATTTTACAATAAGTTCCAATTGATGCCACAAAATAAAAAAAAACAACAGAAAAATTATTTTATTATTTTAGTTTCGATTTTATTCTTTACGTCAAGGTCGACAAAATGTCTTCGTAATTAATTTTTTCTTTTTTTTGACAAAATATATAGACGCGTATTATACGTAGGGATAGATATATTTCTTAATTTTTGGATCATTTATTGGGGTGCGTATCATTTATGGGGGCGTATTATTTTCGAGAAATTACGGTAAAAGATTTTTCCCTCCCGCCTCTGAAACACTGAATCCACCCCAACCCCTGGAAAGAATCCCCATTTCCGGTTGAGAACCCCTGCACTATTTTGTTTCTATAGTCTTCCCTTGTTTATACGAAGGAGTGCTGAAAAGCTCTCGGCTCGACCCATTTTACTCAAATCTGATATTTATTGAATTTTATCGGTAAGATCCTTTCGTTCATATTGACATGACACCCAACAAAGACAATGGTTAGAACGGAAGAGGCGCTGGGGTCACAGCAATGCTTATCACTGAAGCGACTACCGAACAAATGAAAAGCGAACTAGAAAAGAAGAAATCTATGGACCATGCATCCGACTATCTTGTATGGCCGCCTTTGACAGCAACGGGAAACTTTAGAGTTGAAGATAACGATTTGAAATGACCGCAGATGAAGGGAGAACGACAAATCCGTTGTATTTTCGCATTGGCCGCAGCCAAATTAAGTCGAACGTTGTTTCTGCTAACAAAGAGCAAAGGTCAACCATCAGCGCTGGTTATACGATTTTACGATCGGCATTTGCAACCACCTCCATTGTCAAACTCAAAGACGGATAGAAAAGACACTAGCAAACACGTAGACACAGAAAGAGACATGAACAGATGCAGACATAGTAACATATAATAAGATACTCTTAGGGAGGATTTTAATTGAGGGGTCAGAATTTTTCTCAATATGCAAAGAACGAGGAGGGAGATGTTAATAAAAGTGGGTTGGGGAAATCATTTAGAGGGTCAAAACATTCTAAATTAATAAACGAAAAGAAATCGACAGATCCCTAAAAGAAGGGCTGTAATAATAATAAAAAAAAGAAATGAGGACATTAATCTTATTGACAAAAAATTACGATCTCACCATATCCCAGAAATTTAAAGAAAAAAAATATGTTAATGTTAATAATAGTAATGATAATATTAACCGTTTCCTTATAAGGAAACATATGACATTCATTGATCGAACAGCCAATGCTACTGGGATTATGCTTTTCTTTCCTACAGGCTACATCAAAATGTGATATGCTTTCTCTTCATTTCTAATGGTAATGATAATATTAAGAAAAAACTTATAAGGAAACATTCGGTTTTCATTGACCGAGCAGCTATTTTGCTACTTTCTTTATGCTTTCTTTACTACAGGCTACATCAAAGTGTGATATGCTTTCTCTTCATTTCTAATGGTAATGATATTATTAACTGTTTCCTTATAAGGAAACATTCGGCATTCATTGACTGAGCAGGCAATGCTACTGGGGTTATGCTTTTCTTTCCTACAGGCTACATCAAAATGTGATATGCTTTCTCTTCATTTCTAATGGTAATGATAATATTAACCGTTTCCTTATAAGGAAACATTCGGCTTTCATTGACCGAGCAGCTGCTGCTACTGGGGTTATGCTTTTCTTTACTACAGGCTACATCAAAGTGTGATATGCTTTCTCTTCATTTCTAATGGTAATGATATTATTAACTGTTTCCTTATAAGGAAACATTCAGCATTCATTGACTGAGCAGGCAATGCTACTGGGGTTATGCTTTTCTTTACTACAGGCTAAATCAAAATGGGAGATTTCACGTAAAATAATGTTTTCTACTTTCTGTAGGTGCACAGAAAAAACATGATCACTACTGACAGAAAATATGTAAATGCAAGACTTTTAGACATTTTGAATAATATCTTTACTGAGTATGAAACACCTGGTAAATTATCAACGAACGTAGACGTTGCTGCGACGATCGCTAATAAAAAATAAATCAGGGGCCAAAATAGGCTTCGCAGCTGGGCTGAGGAACATCCACCATGAGAAGATGAGGTCATTTACAACAGCTGCACATCACCTAGAAACTTTTCTAGGGCTTTGTAAAATCTTTCATTTGTGGCAAGTCATGTTAGTATCTGAAAAAAATTCGGATGTTAGAGGTTTTCGAATTTGGGATTTTCGGATAAAGGATACTCAACATGTATGAGCATCATGATCCGACCCAAGTACCTAAGAGTCGGAGGGGCTATCAAATCAAAATATAAGGACCTTGAAACGAAAATCTAAAAACATGTGGCACATGAGGACATCAACAATTACAGTTGTAGTTGGAGCCCTCGGATTGACTGGAAAATGGTCCGATGTACTCATTAAAGGGATTCTTGGTAGAAAATGTTTTAAGGAAATATAAAAAAGTATACTCACAAGAACAGCCCGTAACTTACGAAGGGACTTTATCTAGGTAAAATGCGAGTGATCTTAGGAGTTTTTTGTAGTTCTTTTTTCTCAAAAAATGATCAGTGGAAAATGCCATGATGGTATTTCTGGCCTTAGGTCTCTGGTTGGGACCCAGAAAGAAATGTCGGGTTACCTTCTCTTAATTTTGAAAACTGCTCCTAGGAGACGCTCTCAAGACTATAAATTATTCTGCGATATTTAAAGATTCTTTCTTAACCTTATCAAGTTAACACGTCAACATGTTTTCTCTCACGGAAAAACGCGTTCCCTTTGGGAAACGAATGAACACACACACACACACACACACACACGTACGTACGCACATACACTGACTACACATACGTTACACCCAAAAAATTTTCACATTTATTTACGTGAACTCACATCTCGAGTCTGCATGTTTGTTGTGGGCATTTCAGGAGATACACGTATTTATCTCTCGACGCATGTACTGGCCCGCAAAAAAGAGTATACAGCAGATATCAAAGGATATAATAATAATAATAATAATAATAATAATAATAATAATGATTCCTCAGTCCAGGCAACAGTTTCAGTTATGTGCCATGCGTGATACACGCTTAGGGGGATCATGTATCTTTCGATACATAACTGACGAGGCAGATTTTTTTCCTGCAGTAGGTTGCCATTTCTTTCTGCGGTAGACCAGTTGATATTCAAGGATATAGAACGCGGTCTGTCCTGCTATTTACCCATAGCTTTCCCCCGGGTATTAGCACGTAAGTGAATGTAATGGGTTCGACTGGAATTCGAACTCGGTTCTCTGATTCCTCAGTCCGAGTCTGCCATGTTTGTTTTTGGGCATTTCAGGAGACACACGTGTTTATCTCTCGATGCCAGCCCGCAAAATGAGTATACAACAGAAATCAAAGGAAATGAAATAAAAATAATAATAATAATAATGGAAGAAGAAGATGATGGTGAATAGGATGGAGAATTAGAAAATGAAGAAGATGAGGAAAAGAAGAAAAAGGCAAAGGGGAATAATAATAATAATAATAATAATAATAATAATAATAATGGGAAGAAGAAGATGATGGTGAATAGGATG